ATATTCAGCCAACTCGTGCTCCACTTCGTATTCATTGCTTGCCTCGATTTCGGTGGAGAGTCCTTGCTAAATTGCTGCGAGAACCCTTTAGATAACCTGCATGAGCCCTAGGGGATCCTTTGTTGTGTGTGCGTGTGTGTGTTTACAGACATCCCTAAAAAGAAAAAAGAAAAAAAAAACGCATCCGCCACATCACCAATTTGCGCACGGCGCATGGCGCATGCGCATGGCACAACGCATTGCCCAAGTGTGTTGCAAGTATGTTACTAATATTATGAAGTTCGCTGCTAATGAATGTTGTTGAGGTTTGAACCCACACACAAATTTGAGATATGCAACTACGTGATCTGATAATCACTCAGCTCGACTGGGTCCCTGTGTGTTTTTTGGGACAACTTTCTTATGAAGTGTATCCGGCATGAGGCAACAAGCAGGACATGATGTGCCTTTGTGTCCAAATCCTAACGTTGCAAAGTGTCGCAGGCGAGTCCAGTCCCGCAATTTTCAAGCGCTAGCTCTGACGATTTTTTGCGCTCATACGAATAGAAAACATAACATGAAAACTTGAGATCTTGTAGACTAGGTTGTGATCTTTCAAGAAAAAATATCAAAAAAATATCAAAAAAATAGTACCGTGAAATAAATGCCACGCCATTATGTTGCATTCTCCATTTTTGCCATTTTGGCACATGTTGGCCAACGGGAAAAGTACCCCAATTTCCGCGATTTGTTGCGCTTAGGATGACTCCACAACTCTAGAAATTAAAGGGCATGTAGATTTGGTCATGATATTTGCACAAAAATATTTAAAACATAAAAAATATATATTTATGATCGTGAAATAAATTTCGTGCTAACTCGTCCTATATTCCAATTTTGCTGCTTTTTGTTGCTCTATCATGTGTCGGGCAACGGGAAAAGTACCCCAACTTCCGCGATTTTTTGCGCTTAGACGGATGATTCCACAACTCTGCAAATTGAATGGCCTGTAGATTTGGTCATTATCTTGCCACGAAAAATATTTAAAGAAGTTAAAAAAATATTTAAGATTGTGAAGGAACTGTCACGCCAATTCGTCCTATATTCCATTTTCGCTGCTTTTTGTGGATCTATCACATGCTGGCCAACAGGAAAAGTACCCCAACTTCCACGATGTTTTGTGCTCGTAAGGCTGACTCCACAAGTCTGCAAATTGAAGGGCCTGTAGATTAGGTAGTGGTATTTCCACGAAAAATATTTAAAAAAAAATAAAAAAATATTTAACATCGTGAAATAAGTGCCGCTCCAATTTGTCGCATATTCCATTTTTGCTGCTTTTTGCTGCTCTATCACAAGTCAGCCAACGAGAAGAACCCCGACTTCAGCGATTTTTCCTGTCTAATACAATACTCCAAGAAGTCTAGACATTGAAGGGTATGTGGGGAAAGCAGGTGCAGCAACAGCTAGGGCAAGGCGAACTTGATGATGCGTGGCTATGCTGGCACAATGGCAAGCTTGCAACAGCGGTGAGCAACGACCGTGCACTGTGCAACACTTTGTGGAGAGAGAGAGAGAGAGAGAGAGAGAGAGAGAGAGAGAGAGAGAGAGAGAGAGAGAGAGAGAGAGAGAGAGAGAGAGAGAGAGAGA